TTTTAAGTTAACTTTAAGTAAAAATATTCGTTTAATTATAACGATCTCAAAACATTGTTTATTGAAGATCAATTTAAATATTTTGTCGTAAATCTGCACAATGAGTAAATTACACGTCATTTGAAAAAATTCATACCGGAACAAAATGTTGCACTATAAAAATATTCGTTTTGTCTGCAGAATCTCAATAACCAACGTAGATATATTTCGCACACAGCGTACACACTTGAATCATTTTCAGCGCGATATTAGAATAAACGTAAATAAAATTTGTTGCAAATCTCTGCGAGATGCGTTTAAGACTTGAAAATGAATTTCCAAAGTAGTGTTCTACTTGAAATAATTTCTTCTGTTATTTTTATATTTGTGATTACATATTTTCTGATTTTATGAGATGTAAACACTCGCACATATTCAGCAAAGTTTGACAGGTCCAAAAATTCGTAGTCGCTTTTTTCGTGCGCAATCACGTTCGATTTCTAAACGGAACGGCACGCGGTGTGCTGTTACCGTACAAGAAATATGCTCACCTAGGCGTGTATTATTCGCGAACAGACAGCAATTATACGGATACATATCCGCGACAGTGACTTTATATACGTGCGAAGCCGCGTGCCGCGGCGGGGACGGATGGAAATGGTACCGATTCATTCTACGAAATCAACCTCATCATCGATTGGCACCTTCACCTTTGTATTCGCCTTTATAAAAATGCAACACTCGTCTTCCAATAATACACGCATTATGATAATGTTTTTCTCTTATTCTCCTCTCCTTGGAATTAGAGTTCGACAATACATGCTGATCTTTTACAAAATATCGTCAAAAATTTGTCTAGCTCTCTGACGTGATCTTGCGATGTTATTTCTAATTTGAATAATTCAAAACTCGTCTTTTCCATGAATCATGCATTTTTGAGGATATTTTAGGATATCATATTCACTATTCGGTCCGTGTGCTCAGATTTATTATTTGATTTTTTTTTATCTGGTATTTTTATTAAAGAATTACATAATATTGCATGCCAAAATATCTTTCACCAATTTTTCACAAGTTTAATAAACATATTAAAAATATATACCTTTTTCATTAATTTAATAGATTATTTTAGCACGTTCTGAGATTGATTAAAAAATAATTTTGCGCAGATTAAATTCAGAGAACTAAACGGATAACGAGAATCACTTCTTCTTTAGTAAATTTCAAAAAGAATTTAATCGAATTTTAATTTGAGTATTTGATTTTCAAAGTTTTACAGCATACTTTTGAATATTTCAAAAATATTATTATCTTGATTGATTTCAACATCATTTTTGTGAAACTTAGCATGTTTACACATTTTATGATATTACTTCAAAAAAATCGTTTCACTTTTTCGAATTACAAGATTATGAATTTCCGAAATTATGCGTGCAACATTTTCCTTATTATTACCAACTCAAATACGGTTCAGTGCAATTTGTGTCGTGACAGGAAATTTTCTACATTAAACAGCCTACGGAAATTCACTTAATTAAAACCCTGATTCGAAGTATCGTAGTTATATAAAAAATATATAATTGAAGAGCAATTGGAAAAAAACTGCAGACGTCAAACGTTTAATTTGTTATTCGTTATGACTCGATCTCCCGATATTTATGAGCAAATGATTGTCAAAGCAAATTTATGAGCAATTGTTAAAGTAAATTTATGAGCAAACAGCTGCTTTAGCAAATTAACATCATTAATATTAAAACTTTATCTTGGCACTTTTTCCTCGATGTTTAACTTCTCTATACATATTCGTTTAAGGGGGGATTAATGGGAAAATATATAAAACGCCAGAAAAATCACGCACATTTTCTTAAATGAAAATATCGCACAGTTTATTTCGCACAGTCGACGGATATTCGTGTCGGAAATACCATACATCGTAATTTAAAGAGTTTCTTCCTTGCTCTATTGAGAAAATAATGCACACGGTGTGACACGCGAATGCCGAATGTGTCGAATGTCGTACAGATAATTTATTGTGGCTGAAACTGCTTTAATCACACATTCTTTATCCGACTACAATTGCCTTACACGAATTATTTTGGAATTTCGATGTTGATGCACTAGCGCTAAAATATATCGACATTTTATATACACATATCGCAATGACGGACTCCTCAATCAACAAATCTCAATTTCGACGCTCGCGAGAGAGAAGGCCGCCGGTAGTACAATTAACTATACATCACCAAATATAGTCGGATAAACGGAGGAGGTATTTGTTTATTATTTATATAAAATACGAGCGAGCTGTTGTGTTTTAGCGTCGCCCCGTCATACAAATGCTGTTCTCTTGGCGCAGAGGTCTAGATATAGAATTTGTCTATCTACTTAAACCTGAGTAGGTCTTTACTCGTCTGTTGTTATGTACAAATAGGCTCTCTTTCGTATCTACACAATTGTAGAACCCATCAATTTCGGTCATACTTAAACTTACATACATACTTTTAATAAGCGTCGGAAAGGACTGATATAAATAAGATTAACATAGCGTACGATTGCTATTTTCAGTATTATACAATAACTTAAGTAACATAAAAGCACAGTTTGTGTTGCTATTTTACAAAATAAGAATTTGTTTTTAATGGTATCTATACAGAATATTCCAAAAACAAATTCATAAAATTGCATCTTCATAACAATATTGAAAATTATATATTCTTAGAACTTTTTAATCTTATTTATTTTTCTCGTTTGGTAATTTAGTTGAATTATTTTCAGTTAATTATTAATGTGAAAAAAAAATTGATATACATATTTATATAAAAAAAGAAACGGTGGAAATTTATTCGTCATATATTCAATTCATCTTTCACTGTTTAACTCTCTTATTAAATAATTTTCTTAAGTGTCGAGAAATAATTTATTGATTAATATTATTATACGGAACAAATAAACGTAATATAGAAATCCAGTAGAATTTCACTGAATGTCATAATTTTCGTGTTTATAAAGTTAACAGGCCAAGAAAACATTTTTCTCAAGGTCCATTTATACATATCCGTACCGTACACGTCCGTGCACGGATGCTAGATTCGATTCCATATAATTAAATGTAAGTATTTACACTATTCCGTATCCGTATCGTCCGTGTCCGTACCGGCATCGCAGATGTCGTTGACGATGATATCTTTTAAAATAAAAAAATGGATAGTGAAAAATAATAAAGAAATGGATAAAGAAAAATAATAAAAACATGTTCTGACATTCGATAAAATTTAGTTGCATCATCAATCAATTCTTTATATAATGTAAAACATTCACCTTCCGTTTTTTCGTCCATGCTTTATAAATCCATAAAATCCGTTTTTTTTTTTTTTTTTGAAGATTCCTCTTCGTCTAATGCTTCTTAATGCTATTACCTAATTCGTTTAGCGATAGCTCTGCCATGTTCACGGTCACAGATGTATGTCTCAAGACTGATGTTTCAAAACATTCACGGATGCGATCCGGATATGTGTAAATACTCATCCAATCTTGCCGGTACGGATATGTATAAATGGACCTTTACCAATATATGCTTTCAC